ATGTTTTGCGCCGAAAAACATGTCGCGCTAACTGCGTTGCAGCATGCTCACTGTGGCTCGGGTTTTTCTCGTTTTGTGCAGTTTGCACCATCTTGTTGCACATGAGCCTGAAATTCCTCACTCGCAGCTACAAGCATCAGCCTTCTCACGATCCGCGTGCGCATCTCTCCGTTGTGTTTGACATCACAATATGGCGAACATGGACCCGGAGAACATCACTCTCCAGGATGCTCTCAAAGCCACGAGCGATCTCTACCTCCGGCGCTTGCCGCAACACATCCAGGTAGGACCAATGCCGAGAGGTATCGTTAGTCCCCTTGTGCTACCACTTCGTGATCTCAATCCGTCCGCACAGCAAATGAAGCACTGCTTTGACCTCATCTACGACTACACAGGCAACATCTCCACGGATGCCTTGGCCCCAATCCTTCGCGACCAGGCCTGGAGCGAACTGCCGGTTCCCTTTGGCCTCAAGAATGAGCTGGGTGTCAAGTACGACTTACTGCAAATCTTCATCATCCCACAGGAGAATGGCAAACATTGCTTGGTAAAACACATCTTCCTTCCGGATGCCAAGGTCAAAGCTTCCCTTTTCCATGAAGTCGTCTATGGCACTGCATCTGAAGTGGTATGGGTACAACACCAAAAAGGCCCTGCAGTTCATGCTCGAGCACCTCGGTGGGATCCAATTTCGGTTTTTCAGTCTGACTCCCGAGGTTTCCAAAAAAGGCTCCCACGCACCTCCAGAAAGATCGGAGGAGGAGTTGGACAAGGGTTTCGCCTTCATCCGCGAGCATGGTGTGAGAGATAACGGCAATCTCAAACAGTTGCTCTGGATTCAGAAATCCATTGCGGCTGACACCCCCATCCACACGGTTGGCGAGAGGGTCTAGTCTAACGTGCACTGGACAGTCTCGCTACGGACGCCACCATGTCGCAGCTCATTGCCCGCTATGACCTTGTTATCTCGGATTTTGAGGATGAGGTCCAGGAGACTAGGAGAAAGATCGTCCCTCACCTTCGTGGTCACGCCCTTTGGATGCTCGGAGAGCCTGGCAAGGGCAAAACTCCTCTTGGCCGTGTGTTAGCCATGATGTTCTCCAGGTACTGGGGCGGTGAAGGGCAGTACCGGAGTGCCAGTGACTTCGACTACTTCAGTGGATGTCGCTTTAGCACAGCAGTACCGGCAATCTATGATGATGGCGACATTGGAGATGAGCCCACGAAAAAGAAGAAGGCCTTCTCTGATGTTGCCGACACCGAAACCCTCACCCGTTAGCGCTGGACTGCTGCAAAATTTGTGCAAAATCAGTTGCGTGTCGTGATCCACAATGCCTACGAGCCGTCCCCATGAGACGGCCATCGAGCCGGGGTGCAACCCTACAATCTCTCACGACCAGTTCATGAGAATGATTCGTCCAGCCCTTGGCAACTCGCATATCTAATGGTTTGAGTTCCTTCTGTCTGAGGCCTGGATTCCTTTTGCTATACAGACGTTTCGTTTTTCATTATTAAACTCCGAGGTGATGTTTCGCAGGTCGACGGGATGGCCATTCTGAAGCGCTCTGTCTTTCTTATCTTTGCCAGGAACATCATCTACTGGCGCCTTCCGAATGCACTCGAGGTCAATGTCGCCTGCATGTCTTGGTGCCGATCTCCTCAAGGGCAGCTGCAAGCACATCTTGTCAAACTACAAGAAGAATGGCCCTCCACCAGCTGATCAACTAAGCCGGCAAGTGTGGGAAGACGCATGGCTTCTGGAGGCCATTCGTCAGCACGACAATCCCACCGCAGCACCCACTGTCTCGCTACCTGTACGCGTGAAACAAGAGCGCTTCGTATGGGCTCGAGCTTTGTCTTCGGCAACCCTGAGGACTCCCATCGAACTTGATTCCCCGTCTCCTCCTGCGAAGAAGGCCCATGTTGATGAACTCAGTGAACCTTTGCACGTGCAGACCATGAACCCTGACTTCGCTGGCTTCCAGTCTGCAGCTGATGAGGACGAAGATGTCTCGGATCCAATCCCGTCCTTTGGTTCCCGTCCAGACATGTTTCTTTCCCAAGAGCTCGAGCAGATCATTGATGAGACTTTTCCAGACGAAATGGACATTGCCTCGCCCGGCCCAGAGGAACGTGAGTCCTGAGTCTGAGTTTGCGCGATCGTGGCTTGGCGTTTTATGTCGGGTCGTGTTTTCTATATTCATGATGCACTACTATCTTGCTCATAAGAAACACAGCGTCTGTGATGCTTGGGTACTGTGCGTCCTCGACTCGACGAGAAATTTTGCTGTGACCTCTACACCCAATAGCTACAACTATGGCGTCTATATGGACAAAAGTGCCTATGCGAACTTGCTCTTTGCGTCTGGCCCGCAGTCCTTCTGCACTTCACCTCCCGTTCTTCTTATTGGCATTTGACTCTCAAGCAGCACTAGTTTTGGTTGTATTCTAATATCATTCCTGCATGCCGAAAAAACCTACGAAGGCCAGGAATCCCACAGCATGGCCTTGTCCTAAGAAGGGTAAAGCTCGAGCTCTACGAAAAGCGGCTGCTGTCATGAACAAATTTCGAACAGTTCCTTACGTGCGTCATGGACAGTCCCTCCGCAAGAGTCGTCGAGAACGTTGGGGACGGTCCATCCAGGAGTTTCTCAACATGGGCACCAGAAGCTTGATCCGCACACGACAAGATTCTTCCCAAGCACAAGTTTTGCCCCCATCGTGGCGCTTCAGGACTCAAACCATGGACCTATTGCTCGGTGAAGAAAATCTTTGCGTACAGGTGCACCAGGAAGTCTTGCATGAAGCGAACGCAGCCACCGGACTTCCATCCAATTTTCCTCCAAGGACGTGGGAACAGCAAGACTAGCCTGCAGCTCCAGACAGCCATCCTCTATTGTGCCGTTATTGGTCTTTCCGCCGTCCAGACACACTTCCTTCTGGATGTGGATCACAAGCCAGTCGAGAGGATCTTCACTAATCTCGATATCGCAAAAGCGCGCTACGTAGTCCACAAGGAGAAGAGCATCCAATACGGAGGGTGGAAGGATGTTGAAGCTGACGAAGTTGATCTTGGCAAAGGCATCTTTCCCAACCCGAGAAGCCCACTCATAATGCCAGGTCGGAACAGTGGGGTGGCATGATTGAGAGAGGCAACCCCAAATCCTTGCGACTCTTTCGCTTGCAGCCCAAGATGGCCACTCAGCGTGAGCCTGGTCCCGGTCCCATCCGTAAAAGGGAGTGGACATCTATAGCGGCGAAGTACCTTGCAGGCCGACGGGTGATCCTTCACACGGACGGAGCTCGCGCATACAAGCTCAAGGTGGATCAGGTCGTTCACTGCAACGTCGTGCACAAGAAAACAAAGGTCAAGAAAAACGGGAAGGCCTGGTATCTGTGTGCTTGTCCTTAACATGAGTATTGCCGGTATTTTTTCTTATCGCCCGTACTGTTTGATCAGGTGTATTGGGAGAAGCCCAGGTACACCAAGATCTATGATCTCATGCTACCAACAGGGCAAAAGTTCAAGGTCACGAGCGGCACCCAGATCATCGATCGATGTTGGCGTCATCTCCGTTCCCATCTCCAGTACACCGCAAGGGCACCAGGCAATCCCATTATGACTCGCAAGATGCGGGCAGCCCAATGGTCTTACTGGCACCGAGGCGAAAATCTATGGAACAGCACGGGTCGCACACTAGCTCTTCTTGGAAATCTGTGAGTAGAGTTCTGTAGCATCTCACACCCGGTTCTGCTGCTTTCACAAGCACTAGATTTTGACATTCGTTCGAGATCACCAAGCTGCGAAAATTCGTCTGGTAGTCATTGTCCTGATGCTCATGATGTCGTTGAGGGTGTACTCTTGTGATGTGAGCATGCGCGTGTGTAAACCTTTCCATGTCAGCGACTGCAGCTCATTGTTGACCGAGCCTTGTCTTCCAATCCGACACCTCTCCACTTGGGATTGCGATGGCCACAGTTGCTCTCTCAGGGGGTTGGTCCTTGGGGGGGGGGGGTAGCATATATATATATATACATACATACATACATACATACATACATACATACGCAGATAAAGTCGGAGGATATTGCCATCGAAAACATCCTCTTCATGAAGCTGGGCATGTGGTGGCAGTGCCTACGCAGCAGACGGCGGCTGTTCACGGCAATTCTGATCGTGTGCGTTGGGATTGAGTTTAGGGTTTGGCGGCGTCCTCCTTGGTTATGGTACGGAGCATGGGGTTTTCTTTTAGCACGAACAGAATTAAACCTTACAACAGTCTAAGCCATAAATCTGAGGTTCTACACTCCCAAGCCTAACCCTGAACCAAAACCCTTTGCCTGAACCTGTCACTTTTCGTTTAACACGAGCAGAATTAAACCTTACAACAGTCTAAGTTATAAATCTGAAGTTCTACACTCCCAAGCCTAACCCTGAACCCAAAACCCTAAGCATGAACCTGTCACTCACAAAGCATCGGGAAACAGGCCTGCAGCTTCTGGTTTGTACTTACTGGGTTCTTGTTAGGGGTTTTAAGTTAAGTTACACAATAAAGAAATCATATTATTTACCATAGATCCCCATTATGGTAACATACAAAAAAATCCTTGAACAAGAACCCAGTTTAGGTAGTTGTGCAGTACCCCTGTTACCGTAACACCCCAGTTACTGCTTTATGCCTACAAAAAGCCTTATATAAGGTTTGAGGATCATCAGCCCACTTCACATGTAACTGGGAGAGGGTTCTGGTATGGCCGGATTCCTGCAAAAGTCATGCGGTTTAGGGGATTTACGGTACACCATAAAGAGGCAAGTGTCCTATGTGGGAGTTTCATAAATTAGGGTACCATACTGGGTCCTTGTAATAAGGATTTTTGTTTATTGGTGCTATGTTGGGTTCATCCCTCGCAGGCGAGCCCAACACAGATTTACCCTAAGCTGCAGGATTTAAACGTACGTTCAGCAATCCCAAACTCTTAAGCTTATGCACAATCTGTAAAGCCTGTGCGGGCCGTTTCTATCTCGCCAGCATATGAAGTCTGGCATCCACTGCCTCCGCGGCCGGGCCACAATACAGCAGGTTGCTCCAAGCCGGAACAGCCTAAGACCCTCAACCCCCAAAGCCCCAAACCCTAAGCCTCCACACCCCCCAAACCCTAAATTTACGAAAATCCCACACTATTCACCCGTCGGGCTCTCTACAGGAGTTGCTGTGGAAAAAGGCCTTTAAAAGACACACACACACATCCCTAACACTCAGGTTCTGGTTGATTTCCGGCGTTGGCTGGTGGATGGGCTCCTTCCCTTTCTTCATGGCGCAGCCCGGCCTCACGTTCGTGCACGGATTCGGGGTTGGCTAGCACGATTCCCGATTCACATATATGAATTGTCCAGTTTTTTGGTAGTCACACACTATACACACACACACACATATATATATATACACACACATACATACATACATACATACATACATACATACATACATACAGACATATTTTTAAATTGTATATATATATATGTATATATATATACAAATAGATAGATAGTGTTGTTACTGTTTTTCGCTCGCATTAGTATTGTTAAACAGGGCTCGCTTCTAAGATCTGTGGCATAGATTTACCTTACCCCACACCGGCGGTCGCGTCAAGATGCGTCAAGCAACTCTCAACTCC